TACTAGTGTCTTCTCGAGTAAAGTCATCAATTTTGAGCCTGTATAATTTCTCATGAGGAGTATGCCAACTTACCCACAAAAATCTATTCAAATTGTCGTACTTAATCTGTCGATGAGTTTTATTGTGAGTCGTTTGGTACTCCAACGTCAAGTAAATTATCTTAAGGTTGGTAGAGAACACGTGATGTTCCCATTGTCAAAAAATAAACTAGTTTGTTTTTTTTTCAAATGATCTATGCGTTAATGGAAAAAATAGTTTTCCAACTTATGATCGATCTATACATATTAATATCAGTTTTTAAGTTTGGATTGATTTATTTATCAAAAATTTAATAGTTATATTATAAATTAAAAAAAAAACAGTTAAATGACTAATAAAATTTGTAACGGCCCCGGAAATATTAAAATGAAATGAGTATTTAAATATATCAAATGCGGAAGCGAGATCAAAATTTCAGTTAACATCCCTTACACGAAAAAAAACTAAAAACGTACTTAAAATACAAAAGATTAAACTAACTAAGAGAGAAACTCGAAAATAAAACTATGAGTATGACTACAGAGTCTCTAGGCATCCCCTTCGTCGTCCTCCTGCGGAACAGGCTCGGGAACCATGTCTTCCTGATCTGAAATGGTTAAATAAGGAGTGAGCTACACTAGCCCAGTAAGAACATCACGATATCTCACCGTCACGATTATTAATAGTCATATTTTAATTAAGGTTCATGAATTCTTAAATAGATCAAATTTATTTGAAAGATCTAAATTTATAATCTTATTTTTTGTGTGTTTTCTCTAAAAAATATTAATAATATCCTATTTACTCGTAAAGTTCATAATTTATTGGCCTTAATTGCTTCTAATGAGACCTCTATCAATTAGATTACTAGTGTTGTCTCGAGTAAAGTCATCAATTTTGAGCCTGTATAATTTCTCATGAGGAGTATGCCAACTTACCCACAAAAATCTATTCAAGTTGTCGTACTTAATCTGTCGATGAGTTTTATTGTGAGTCGTTTGGTACTTCAACGTCAAGTAAATTATCTTAAGGTTGGTAGAGAACACGTGATGTTCCCATTGTCAAAAAATAAACTAGTTTGTTTTTTTTTTTTCAAATGATCTATGCGTTAATGGAAAAAATAGTTTTCCAACTTATGATCGATCTATACATATTAATATCAGTTTTTAAGTTTGGATTGATTTATTTATCAAAAATTTAATAGTTATATTATAAATTAAAAAAAACAGTTAAATGACTAATAAAATTAAGATAATATATGATTTTAAAATATATTAATCAATGAAAATGTACATATAATCATTAATTTTTTGTGTGTTTTCTCTAAAAAATATTTTTAATTTTGAAATTTCATATTTAAAGTATAAGTGAATAATTTATTATTTTATTAATTAAAATATTATTATAGTTGAAATAAATAACTTACTATTTTTATTAATTAAAATAGTATGTAGAAATTTGTTGTATCATCTATATTAATTATCATATGATAAGAGAAGTTTATTGAATTGATCCTTAATTTTTTAAAATTTAGATAATATAAAGATTTTTAATAAAATAATTAAGTTAATTAATTAAGGTGTTAGGATGCACTTTTTCTTATATTTTTTACAAACATTCTTTTATGTAATGGTAAATGATAGATCTATTCAAGGGACAATATATTAAAAATTATATATACTATTTAAAAGTGTTAAAAAATTGGATGTTATACTATTTTTTAATTCAAATATAAATTGAAATTTTAAATTTTATCCATATAAATCCTTATCACTAAAGGCTTCTTTAATACTATTCAACAAATGCCCACGTAACGAATAATTATCTATATAAACATCAAGTTTTAAAAATATTATTAACATAACATTTACGTATTAAATTTTATTTTATAATTTGTCCACCATGATCATTTTGTTAAAATATATGTGATGAAGTCTTAATTATTCTTTGAAATTTTTAACTAAATGGTTAATAATTACCTTTCTCTATAAAATATTATGAATCCAAATATTATGGTCCCACCCACTCTCCTCCCTATTTTTAGCTCTGCAAAACCAAATCTCATTCGAACACTATAAATACCTTCCAACAATGGCAGCAGACAGCGAGAGAGAGAGAGAGAGAGCGATTCAAATTTCAATTTCTATTCGCGTCTCTCTTCTCCTGCACTCTTATTGCCGTTCATCTCCTCCACCCCTCTGCAACACCCCCACAAATCGCGAGGCAATTCTCTCTCTCTCTCTCTCTCTTCATTCCAATCACATTGTCTATCTCCTTTACATTTCTTAATTTCTCCATTTTATCTGACAATTATTCTACATGTTGATATGGCTTTGCAGGTATATAGAGAGGGAGAAGGTGTATACAGAGATTGAAGAACATGGGGGTGGTGTCGAGGAGTGTGTATCCAATGTGTGAGAGTTTGTGTTTCTTTTGCCCTGCATTGCGTACTAGATCAAGGCAACCTGTGAAAAGATATAAGAAGTTGCTTGCTGATATATTTCCTCGCTCCGCGGTTAGTTGATTTTCTTTTTCTTTTTTAATTTCCCCCCCATTTGATTTGATTTTCTTTTTCTGCTGGTAATTGTTATTCAGTGTCTGTTTGGTAGCCGCATAAATATTGGGAAAAGAGAAGACTGAAATTGATGTGAGGAGAGTTTGTGTTGATAATAAATAATGGATAGTTGTGATTGTGGTTTTTTCTAATTGCTTTAATTCTAAATTGTGTTTTTGTTTATGGGTTCTATAGACATGTCTCAGAGGCGTAGCTGCTCTATTTTCAACCGTGTTAGATTATAATAAAAGAAATTTTAACAGTTCAAAAATAAGCAATTATATAATTAATTTTTAGATTTTATCACTTGATGGTTAAGAGGGCATGATCGATTTATCCTTTGTTTATGGGTTGTTTTGCTACTCAATAAATTTGGGCAAAGAAAGGAACCAAAGAAAGAGGAAATTTTGTTCTGTTTATGTTGCCAGCTTTATTGGGGTTCATTGGCTTTTTAGTTATCTGAAAAGTTTGTGGTTTTTTTCTTTGAAAAAAAAAAATGCAAAGATGATTACTCTTGGAGGGGCTTGGTTGTGTGGGAATTTCTCTTTTCATTGGGCTTTGGCTATTTACTTTCACTGAATTTTCAGGGTTTATTTTCAAGGAGTGTTTGTGGATCAAATGTTCATTTTATCTGTTGTGTATTGTTTGTCGCGGACTATATCCCAAGATGTAAGGAGTCCTCAAGAATGAAAATTATTGTAGATATTTTAATGTTTGAAGTGGAATTGCACTTCAGAGTTTCTATGTTCTTAAACTTGGTAGCTTTTACTCTTTTTGTCTAAATTTCTCTCTGAAATAAAATTTATCACCTCATTCTTCAAATAAGTCGCTCATGCAAATAAATTTATTTTGGAGATGTAACTCATATTTTCATTGTGGAAGAAATCATGCATGATGGATTTTTTTGAATTACTTCTAGAGTTTTCGTACCTTTAGTAGTTCTAATATTTAAATCTCTCTATCTCCAGGAGGAGGAACCAAATGATCGAAAAATTGGTAAACTATGTGAATATGCTTCTAGAAATCCTCTTCGAATTCCCAAGGTACAATTTAATGTTTGTTTGTGTACTTATGTTTTGTTGTCATGTTCCAAATTTGCTACATTTTCTCCACTCAGCTTGTTATGTTTGCATGCTTGCAAAATTTCTTTTTTAGTATGTGTTACGGTGAAATATAACATTGGCCAAAAGTTCAGGGATTGGCTAAGCTTTTGATGTTGTTTCGCACCCAACTTGACTCTTCACACCTGGCCACCTCCTCCTTGTCTTCCTCACACACTGCTAGCTCATAATTTATGTCTGGTCCCTCTGTCTCTAAATTTTCTGCAAAATTTGCAGTACCCAGTGGCTATTCTCATCCTTCACTTGTTGTCCTGTGCTCATTAGGATCAAATCCATCCAAATATTCCCCAAATCAAGAACATTGTCCAAAATGGCCACTGGTAGTGCCGATTCTACTCTCAAAATCTTTGTGTGCAACCAAACTTGACTGTCATGGATGAACATGTGCCACTTTCCTGAAAGAACTGTAGAAAAGTTATGATCAACAACTCAACCTTCTCTCCTAAAAACACAATCATTGATCTGAAGCTTCTGTGTTTTTCTCACTTAAGCTGACACTTTTAGCTTTCTTCCACCCAACACAACGTCATATGATTTCCTTTCTATGGTCAAAAATCTCCTTGCAAGATAAACTATCATGGGAAAAAGGGCAATATTTTGCTTTGACCAACAGAGGACGGTCAGGAGCTAATGTTCACCCACCATTGATGTGAAAATAAAAAAGAGAGAACTGGGACTTTAGCACTTATGATATCAATGTCTACACATTTCAAACT